AGACAGGGACAGGATCTTGTTGGCCTTTGCTGTCACCACTGATTAGTGTGGTGACTGGCATCAAATACAGCGAATATTCATTGAACAAATTAAGGAGGCTGAAATTTCTAACTTTCCTGACAAAACTACAACCCCTTAAGGGGTTAATATCCAAAATATATAAAGAACTTATATGACTTAACACTAAAACAACAAATAACCTAATTAAAGAATGGGCAGAGGACCAGAATAGAAAATTTTCCAAAGAAGATATACAGATGGCCAAGGAGTACATAAAAAAAGTCTCAACATCACTAATCATCAGGGAAAAGCAAATCAAAACCACAGTAAGTTATCACTTCATACCAGTCAGAATGGCTAGTACCCAAAAGACAAGAAATAACAAGTGTTGGGAAAGATGTGAAGAAAAAAGAACCCTCCTACACTGTTGGTGGGAATGCAAACTGGTGCAGCCACTATGGAAACCAGTATGGAGGTTCCTCAAAAAATTAAAAACAGAAATACCATATGATCCAGTAATCCCACTACTGGACCCAAAGAAAATAAAAACACTAACTCAAAAAATATATGTACCCCTATGTTTAATGCAACATTATTTACAATAGCCAAGATATAGAAACAACCCAGGTGTCTATCATATATATATATTATATATTTTTTATATGTATAAAATATACATATATATTTTCCCAGCCATAAAAAAAGAATGAGATCTTGTCATTTGCAACAACATGAATGGATCTTGAGGGTATAATACTAAGTGAAGTAAGTCAGAGAAAAACAAATACCACATGATTTCACTTATATAGAGAATCTAAAAAAACAAAACAAATGAACAAACAAACAAAACCAGACTCTTAAACACAGAGAACAAACTGATAGTTGCCAGATGGGAGGTGGGTGGAGGGAATGGGTAAAATAGATAAAGGGAATTAAGAGGTTCAAACTTCCAGGTATAAAATAAATAAGTCACAGAGAAGAAAAGCACAGCATAGAGAATATAGTCAATAATACTGTAATAATATTGCATGGTTATAGATGATAACTACACTCATCGTGGTGAGCACTGAATAATGCACAGAATTGTCAAATCACTATGTTGTAACCTGAAACTAATATAACATTGTATGCTAATTTTACTTAAATTTAAAAAAAAATCCATCCTCTGATGAAAACAGAAGTGGAAATCACAGGCAGGGACTTATGGTGGCTAAGAGGACTATCTCAGGAGAAAGACTGAATATGTCGCCTAAATTTAAACACTTAGCAGCAATTTAACCTCGAGCAAGATGCTCTGCCTCCCTATGCTTCAGTTCCCTAATCTGTGAAATGGGGCTTATGATCATGCTGTCTTCCTTACAGGCTATGGTAAGGATTAAATGAAATAAAATTAAAGTCTTTTTTTTTTTTTAAAGATTTTATTTATTTATTTGAGAGAGAGAGAAAGAGTGAGCACAAGCAAGGGAGTGGCAGGCAGAAGGAGAGGGAGAAGCAGACTCCCCGCTGAGCAGGGAGCCGAACACAGGGCTCAATCCCAGAACCCTGGGACCATGACCTGAGCCAAAGGCAGTCGCTTAACCGACTGAGATACTCAGGTGCCCCAAAATTAAAGTCTTGTCGAATGGCCATATCAAGCACTCGATCATTCTCAGTTGATACTAGTATTATTTTCTTAATCACAGGGTGATTGCTGAGAGAAGGAAAGAATTGTGGGCGCCTTCCATGTTTAATACAGAACGAGGGTAGAACAGAATGTGCCTCTGCCAAACAGAGCAACACAGAGACCGCTCCCAAAGAAAGCACTAAGTGTTCATAAGGAACACTGGCATTAAAACATCCTACACCACAGACTTGCAAGTTACATGATAAGATAGTCATTAAGATTTATTGAGAGGGCACCTGGGTGGCTCAGTTGGCTAAGCAACTGCCTTTGGCTCAGGTCATGATCCCAGGGTCCTGGGATCGAGTCCTGCGCATCAGGCTCCCCTGCTCTGCGGGGGTCTGCATCTCCCTCTCCCTCTGCCTGCCACTCCCCATGCTTGTGCACTCTCTCTCTCTCTGAGTCAAATAAATAAATAAAATTTTTAAAAAAAGATTTTTGAGAGACTTCTAAATATCATTTAGCTCCTTTAAAAAAAATTATTTGACAATTATTCCTTTATTTAATAAAACTTCCTTCTGATATAATACAGTCCACTATGCAGCATTACTTACAAGTGGGGAATAACACCAATCCATAGGGCTAGGATATCCAGGTAGAAAGTTTTTTTGGGGGGGAACAGAGGAGATGGAAAGGGAATGTTTGAAGACATGAGTTGGGAGAGGTAGGGAGAAAGAATGTGGAAACTCAGAACAAGTAAATTATCCAATTAACAATGCATCTTTTGTGTTAGCTTCTTTGATGCAAAAATACAACATCTGTGGGTAACTTTGATATTTCAAAGTTGGATTTTTCTTATACCTAAGGAAGCATTAACTAGACCCATTAACAATAACTCAGTTTACAAAGAAATGGAGGAGTAAGGCTTTTAGTTCCTTTTCCAACTTCAAAGGTGAATTGTTTAAGTACATCCTTGAGATGTGTCATAACTTGTGTTTCCAAAATGTAATACCATACAATGATTTATAGACCACTGATGCCCAGCCAAATAATTTCTTCACTTTGGTTTCTTTTATGTTAAATAAAGATGAAAGATACTCAATTATTATTTTTTTAAAAAGCAGGAAGAAAGAGGAAACCTCAAGTTATCTCAAGAGAGAACTGATACAAAATATACCCCACTAGGAAACTGATGAACTAGGTTAAGAGGATAAGATGCAATTACCTTTAGAAATAGATGAAAAATCACTCTTGAGTAAAATGAAAGGACTCAGCTCATGTGTGGCTTCCCTGCAGTTCTCATCTCTGTTAAGAGTGTAGCTCTCACTACAGCATCTATTTTTCCTAGAGTTTATAATGTTTATATAATAGGAGAATTTTGAGCAATGAGAAAAGAGAAATCGCTAAACTATATGCTAAAAATTTTGCAAATCCAATTTTAACACTGTCATTCTGGTTTCTGTTAATAAAATCTTCCACCATCATAGCTTTCTTTAAGAGAAACATTGGCTTATACTGTTTCCAGTAACCCCTTAAAATATCCTTTCTCACACAGGAAACAAGAAAATCATCTCTCCATCCTTTTCCCATTTGAGTAAATTTATTTCCTAGAAACAGCTAGCCATCTGGTTTCTAACAAACATAGTGGCACAATTTCTCCACTTTGAAAGCAAAATAACAACATAATGACGATTATAAAAATACTAGTTAACATTTATTGGACATTTACCCTGTACCAGACCTCGCTTGAAACATTTTACATGCATTATCTCATTTAATCTTCTAAAGACTTTCCAAAATGGATAATTCTATTATCCCCATTTTACAAATTAGGAAACTGGAGCTAACAAAAACCATGTCACAAAGGAATTCTTATCAGATAGGATGCATTTATCTGTAGGTAACTAAATGCTCAATTCTAATTGGTGTAGGGAAAAACATCATTTCCTTAATTCTGGAGGCTTAGCAGTAGGATGGGATTTGAGTGTTGACTTAATCCAAATTCCCCTTATATTTATTTACTCCTCAGAACTGTATGAAGATGGCTGCATCGGGTCTGGGATTCACATCAATACAGGATAATACCTAGAAGAGCATTCTTCCAAGTTGCCCCTAGCTAAATTCCTCTTGAACCTCAGTGGCCGAAAGATGACCTTTCTTGAACCAAATGGTGAAGGGGTTGGAATTGCCATAATTGACAGCTAAATTAAAGCTCATTCCTGCTGGCATTGAACTCCAATTTCTAAAAATGGACAATTTCAGGAATGCTTCTCTCTAGTCCTAGTCTACTTAAGCTAAATTCTACTTAAGCTAAATAAAAGTACCAAAAAGGAGAAAGAATTGTGGCAGACATGTCTCAAACACTGTTTTAGAAAATATCAATATTTTCTTATAAGTTATTGATTTTATTACCATAAAAGTTTTCAGTTAACTATATACTTACTTACAGTTTTTACTTTTATTTTTTTTTAAGATTATTTATTTATTTGAGAGAGAGAGAGAGATTGATTAAGAGAACTAGTGGGAGGAAGGGCAGAGAGAGAAGCAGACTCCCCATGAGCAGGGAGCCCGATGTGGGACTTGATCCCATCATGACCTGAGCCAAAGGCAGACGCTTAACTGACTGAGCCACCCAGGCACCCACAGCTTTTTACTTTTAATCTTAGATATCAAATGTCATTAGAATTTTGCTCAATAACCTTTTCATATTCTACTTCAGTGAACCATCACACCTTGTGTTACCAGTTATCCAAAAGTTGTGCATCAGAAATACAATGAATCGTGGATCACTACATCAAAAACTAATGATGTGGGCGCCTGGGTGGCTCAGTTGGTTGAGCAACTGCCTTCGGCTCAGGTCATGAGCCCGGAGTCCTGGGATCGAGTTCCTCATCAGGCTCCCGGCTCGGCGGGGAGCCTGCTTCTCCCTCTGAACCTCTCCCCTCTCATGCTGTTTCTCTCTCTCTCTCTCAAATAAATAAAGAAAGAAAGAAAATCTTTAAAGAAAAAAAAAAACTAATGATGTATTGTATGGTGACTAACATAATAAAATTAAATTAAAAAAAAAAGAAATACAAATTGACCTTCCTAAACAACAAGAACTACAAAAATTTCCAATTCCCACTGAATGAATTTTAAGTACATTTATGCTTAAATCTAAATAACATGTCAGTATAGAATAATATAATCCAGAAACTAATAAACTAATACTATATAAATCTATGCCTCCGCACATTGCTTTAATGCCTTTATTGACCTGTGGACTAGGGAAAAAGAAAACAAAAAAACAAAACCTCTTTGCAAACTGTTTTTGAAATCAAATCTGTCACAATTAGGTTGGCCTAACTAATACCTTAGTAAGGTAGTTAGTAATAAAGTAGACCCACATTATCAAACTGACCTCATTAACTTGTTTTTTGTCCAGGTGGAACACTTGGCCAGAACTTGTAGAAGCAATTTCTTCATAGACTTTATATCCAATATGCCCCCTGTCATCACAATCTCCAGTGAGCACAAATACCACCTACGATTTTTTTAAAAAAAGAAGACAATTTAAAGGGTTTTCAGAAATCAATATGTATTTATTGAGTACCTATTACATGTTAATATGCTACTAGTAAAGTGGAATATATACATCATACATATATAATATACATAAACATATACATTTATAAATGTATATAATACCCTACATACATCATATATATATATATATATATATATATATATATATATATATATTTCTCCCTATATCCATGCACTTTGCAAAAGATTTTGAAAAGAACATGTCTAAACTAGCCTACTGGTCTCAAAAAAGGGTGAGAAGCCTGTAAGGCAGAGCCAAGTCACCCTAGAGATCAGCCTAGATAAGTCAAACTCAAACTCTACCCAGACACACAAGTGAGCAAGTCTCACCTAGATCAACAGAGCCCTGTAAATATGTGAGAAATAAATGCTTATAGTTTTAAGCCATTGAGAGGTAGAACTGTTTAGTATATAGCAATAGCTAACTGATACAATAAATAACTCTGACTCAAAACAAGATTCCACATAGGAGGTGACATTTGAGACATAGGTCTATGTTTTTGTCAGTTAAAAAGATAAGATGGTAAGAAGAACCTTCATTAATCCCCATTTTCTCTCTGTATTAAAAAATAAGGTATTAATATGTACAAATATTACATATAGATTTAATATGTTTAAATTAAATGTCACATACATATTGGAATACATATATATAGATCAATAGTTGTAATTATTGACATTTGCTACACAAAGTATAGTTAAAGAAGAGAGGCAACCTCTCACATGCCATATAGGTATACCTTGTTTTATAGCACTTTGCTTTATTGTGCTTCACAGATACTGTGTTCTTTATAAATTAGAGGTTTGTGGCAACCCTGCATTGAACAAATCTATCAGCACCATTTTTCCAACAGTATTTGCTCATTTCATGTCTCTGTGTCACATTCTGGTAATTTTTGCAATATTTCAAACTTTTTCATTATCCGTATATTTGCTATGGTGATTTGTGATCAGTGAGAATGACTTGCTGAAAGCTCAGATGATGGTTAGCATTGTTTAGCAATAAAGTATTTTTTAAGTAAGGTGTATATATTGGTTTTGTAAGACATGATAATACTTCACCCTTAAGAGAGTACAGTATAGTATAAACATAACTTGTATGTACACTGGGAAGCCAAAAAATTCATTTGATTTTAGTGTGATATCTGCTTTATTGTGGTGGTCAGAACTGCACCCACAATATCTCCAAGGTATGCCTAAATTCCTTCCAGCTGTATTCAGACAGAAAATCTGGGGGCTGATTCCTACTCACTTGTGACTGTTTCTGTTGGATAAGCTGGAGCACCTCATGAGTGAGCTGATAATCCTTGGACCGTGCATCAGTGAAAACATAGATGAAAGAGCCAGGAAGAGAAATTTCCAAGGCAATTTTTATAGCTCCAATACTCATTTCTGGACAATCACCACCACCCTGTTGAGGAGCAGAGAAAAAAGAATGCAATTATTTCATCAACAGAAAAGAAAGGAATATTTTAGTTATGACAAGTTGCTTTAGAAGCTCTAGAACTAAACAAGTTCTCTTCACATTTATTTTCTATCAGTTTGCCACTGAATTCATCACTTTGCTTATCAGGAGATGGAAGATAGAAAAACGTGTATTCAGACCTGTACCTCTGAAACAAATAATACATTATATGTTAAAAAAAAAAAAAGAAGATGGTAGGAAGGGAAAAATGAAGGGGGGGAATCGGAGGGGGAAAACAAACACGAGAGACTATGGACTCTGAGAAACAAACTGAGGGTTCTAGAGGGGAGGGGGATGGGGGGATGGGTTACCCTGGTGATGGATATTAAAGAGGGCACGTTCTGCATGGAGCACTGGGTGTTATATGCAAACAATGAATCATGGAACACTACATCAAAAACTAATGATGTAATGTATGGTGATTAACATAATAAAATAAAATTTAAAAAAAAGAATAATGTGTATTTATAGATAAATTATAAATTCACCCCAAATACACAAAATAATAGAAATTGTTACATACTTTTCACCTAATTAAATGTTGATTCACTATCCCATTCCCTCACATGACTATTTCATACATCCCTCTTTTCTTATCCCTTATTTGATGACCTTCTTTTTACTGTACTGAGAGTAGCAATCAGAAGAGAACTTCCATGAACTCCCACCACGATATCTATTAACCTAGCCACATGCCCTGCCTTTACAGTGAAGGGATCATTTGGGCATAGCTAAGGCTAACTACTCACATGTACCTAATCAAAAACACAGCTCCTGTAGCTATTCCCTCTCTCTACTCCATTGCCAACATTCCTCTTTTACTGGATCATTCCCACCTGCAAACAAACATACTGGTATATATCTCAAACCTCAAGTTTTTGCTCAAATGTTACCTATCAGAGAAGCCTCCCATGACCACCTTATATAAAATACACACTCTCTGTCACTCTTTTCATTCTGCTTCATTTTTCCTACTAACACATGATCTGTGTGTTTTATTTCCTACTTGAATAGGCTCAATATATTTTCCTAAACAATAATAGTCCACATCCTAAGAATTCTTCTCATATTTATTTCTTTCAAAATTATATGGATTTATAGATAAAAGTATAAGTATGCTGTATTTACAGTTTTATATATTTTAAGTTTAGGATTATATCCTCCTTCTGTTCCATGTCATCAATGTTCTTCAAAATCACAGGTTCTAATGATTGCATAATATTCTGCCTATATCCCATAATTTAGTTAACCATTTCTCTACTATTGATTATGCTCTTTCAAATTTTCCTCTATTATTAAATATATAAATACAAATATATATATATATTTATATAAAATGTCTGATTACTTCCTTAGCATAGATGTCAATAACTACAGGGCCAAGGAAATGGACTTTCAACCAGTATGTTTTGAGCAATCAATAACCACTAAACACCCTGCTAGGATTTAGACATACAAAGATGAATAATAAGCTAAAGTATCTTGTCCTTAAGGAATTCATGGTCTAGAAAAGACAATCAAATAAAAAGCAAGAGAGCTTGGGGTTATAGGGGGGCCTTATGGTTCTATAGTCCACCAGAATTCAGTAAGTAAGAGCTCTTTTTCAAAAAGAAAATAATTACTTGATGAAAGGGATAAGGTTTTTTCTTTAAACTCTGGAGATTCTACTTGATTCTCCTACTGGGGCTTTTCCCAGGCTTCAAACAGTCTCAGATTGTGATACAATATCCTGAACACCATAGATATAATCAGGGTCAAAAGAGCCAGGCATTTGAACTGCAGTTTGGACAAACTGGAGAATCTTTTCTTGCTTTGGATCTCACTCAAAACTTACAGGCTGGGAGTACCATTTATTAAATGAGTTGGAACAGAGCCCCAGTTGTTATAAATGCTTCTAAAATTGAGACACCCATGAAATATTATGTCACTTTCTTAATGGTAGGGGACTGAACACTGTAGTAATCTGATCTTCACTTCTGAGAAGATGTCAGCTGAAGACTCCCAGAAAGTTTACTCACTTAACAGTCCTTTCTATCTTTGCAGAACTTATCACCTATCCAGCATTACTTATGTGTATGTTCGTGACATTTAGTTTAGCAGATAATACTGTTCTCAAAAACTTGTATACTTCTATCTTCAGACTGTACTTACCTTCCAAATTCTAATTTTACATCTTTTAAAGATTTATTTGGGGGGGGCAGTGTGCAGGGCCCCATTTGGGGCTTGAGCCCACAACCCATGAGATCATGACCTGAGCCAAAACCAAGAGCCAGATGTTCAACTGACTGAGCCACCCAGGCACCCCCAATTTTACATTTTCAATTGCTTGTTAAACATCCACTGCTACGGCACCTGGGTGGCTCAGTCAGTTAAGTGTCTGCCTTCAGCTCAGGTCATGATCCCAGGGTTCTGGGATCGAGCCCCATGTTGGGCTCCCTACTCAATGGGGAGTCTGCTTCTCCCTCTGCCTCTGCCCCTTCCCCCCTACACATGTGCTCTCTCGCTCTCTCTCGCTCTCTCAAATAAATAAATAAAATCTTAAAAAAAAAAAAATCTCCTAGATATTCTATGGGTCTCCACAATTCCACGGGTCTAAAATAGAACTCATTATATTTTCCCCAACCATGTCTTCCCTATTTTTGTTAATCCAACTACCTGCCTCCATATTCAGGTTAAAACCTAAGTCATCTTGACTCCTCCCTCTTCCTTCACCTAATCAGTGGTCAAACTACTTCCATCATGAATCAGTCCCCTCCCTTCCTCCTTACTTCCTACAATTCACTCTTCTTATCATTGATTTTGTTACAAGTATAGTCTCCAATCTAACCTTCCACTCTGCCTACCACCAAACTTTATTTTTCCTGCAGTAAAGAGCTGTCTGTATCATATTCCTACTTAAAATTTTTCACTACTTGTGTTGGATCAAATTCTCTTTCTAGTTTCTTATCTCCTACTGCTCCCTCTTCATAAAATGCTTCCTTTAGGCTAAGACTACTTCCTGTTCTTTAAATATGCCCCTTTCTTTACACTGTAATGCCTTTAGTACTTTCATTCATCTTTCCACTGCTCCATTTCCACCATCAAAACTCCTCATCAATATATGCATGGCTAGGGGTGCCCAGGTGGCTCAGTCGGTTAAACCTCTGCCTTCAGCTCAGGTCATGATCCTGGATCGAGCCCCGCACTGGGCTCCCGGCTCTGCAGGGAGTCTTCTTCTCCCTCTCCCCCTCCCACTGCTCATGCTCTTTCTCTCTCTCAAATTAATAAATAAAATCTTAAAAATATATATATGCATGGCTAAATTCTCCCATTTTCTATAAGCTCATTGATGGCAGTTACTGTGTTTTGCCGAGTCCTTAAGTCCTGAGTTCATAACATTTGCTAGCATACAGTAATCACTGAGTAAATATTTGACAAATTGAACTATTTTCTTTCTAAGGTTGAGATGATATGCCTTCCCCTCTTTAAAATTTTCTCTTTTCTTCCAGTCAAAAAAACTTCTTCACTCTTCAGATTTACTTTAACATGCTTTACATTTCAATGATATAGTATGTTTTCCTCTGCATAATATTTAGGGGGATTGTCGTGTGCTAAAAATTAAGCTAAAATGCTTAAATAAGCATTTGTGTGCTAGGAATGTGGGAAATAGCTACTGGGCACATTAATAACTTTAATATATTACACAGGAATAATTCTTACTTGAAGCCAACTTTGCACATCTGTAATGAATATTCTGGACTGCTCAAAAAACTACATTCCTATTGTATTTTCAGAAGCTTAAACAAAAACATTCCTCAACTGTGCCTGACATCATGCACCTGAATGTGAATCACAATATAAAATTTACCCATTCCACAAGTCTTCTTTCTATGGGCCAAAAATCAGAACAGCTAAGAAATCTCCAGGGATATACACTAGGAATGACAAGAATGATAAACCTTGTCCAGTTAGTAAAGGACAGTCTTTGAGCCACTTGACTTGTGTTCAAATTAACTCTAAGAGGACCTAGGGATGCCTTAGTTCATATCAAAACATTACCCAGGAATAGAGTCTAGAGACCATTAGAATCCTTGGAAGTTACTCCAAATGAATTCATCCCAATGAGATCTCTCCATGTCTTCAGACTCATACTAAAACTTGAAGGTAGCCTTAAAAAACCTATGTGTTGAAATGGAACCTCTAAACCTTTAATTAAGTACTTTTTCACCCTATAAGTTTGAATAGAGAAGTTTAAAACCACATCTTAATAAAACCTATAGGGTCAACAACATTTTCTATAAATATTGAAACCACCTTATTCTCCTGAAAACAGCACCTCTGTGAAACACAGAACCTCATATATAGTAAGCTTAACATTGGTTAACACCCAAAGGAAATGGCAAGATTTCATTCCTTTTGATGGCTGCATAATATTCCATTGTATATATATATATATATATATATATACATCTTCTTTATCCATTCATCTGTCGATAGACATCTTGGCTCTTTCCATAGTTCGGTTATTGTAACGACGTGGATGGAACTGGAGGGTGTTATGCTGAGCGAAATAAGTCAATCAGAGAAAGACATGTATCATATGACCTCACTGATATGAGGAATTTTTAATCTCAGGAAACAAACTGAGGGTTGCTGGAGTGGTGGGGGATGGGAGGGACGGGGTGGCTGGGTGATAGACATTGGGGAGGGTATGTGCTATGGTGAGTGCTGTGATTTGTGTAAGACTGTTGAATCACAGACCTGCACCTCTGAAACAAATAATACACTATATGTTTAAAAAAAAAAAAATGAAGAAGATAGCAGGAAGGGAAAAGTGAAGGGGGGTAAATCGGAGGGGGAGACGAACCATGAGAGACTATGGACTCTGAGAAACAAACTGAGGGTTCTAGAGGAGAGGGGGGGTGGGGGGATGGGTTAGCCTGGTGATGGGTATTAAAGAGGGCACG